ATCTGGCTAGTGCCTTTCTCTGTGTGATTCATGAGTGGCTCTGGGAGCATTCATGCAATCTAGCTGGGTGTAGGGCTCCACCTGCTGTTGTGCTGAGTGATAACAACTGGAGTGGTTTGCTGCTTGTCACTAGCAAAGCATTGTGAGAGACAGCCCAAGCTGGAGAGTTAAGGGGGCACAGCAGTCCCACGATCCCAGGCTGCACTCCAGGGCTCCTGTCACACCTAGAAATGACTTTCAGAAGCCACAGAGCTGCCTAAGCTAGCCAGGAGTGAAGACAGCATCTTAGGCACTGAAGTGGCTGACCTAGTGTGCCTGGCTGATGAGGCAGATGTAGGAGCGTTCCTCAGCTATGAATCCTCTCCTAGAGCTAGGCACTTAAGCCAGCTCAGACACTTAAGCAACCCATGTCCTAGCAACTGAAACCATCTCCCTCTCTCTCTCTCGTTCACATGCGATACCCCTTCCATGTTCATCCTACATTTCCCTGTGGTCCAGTGCATCTCCTGGGTGGGCACTGTTCTACCCCACCACCTATCGCTGGCCTGTCTCCAGCAGGATCTGACAGGTATTAGGTCTTGGTGTGCTCAGAGCTTGTCTACAGGACTGGTGAGACAGAGATCCCCATGACTAATTTGAGAATCCCATCTCTGGAGCTTCAGCATGTGGTAGGGTCAGAGATGCACACTAACTATGGGACAGCATTAGGGTTCAGTCGACTTTGCATATGCTGACCCGTGGTCACCTCAGCAGCACCTTTGAGAATGTCAGTGGTGCCTAAATGGTGGACTTAAGAGCCTAAAGAGCCAGACAGGTGCTTTGAGGAGCTGGGCTGAACTCTCTAATATTCATTAGTTAGGGCCTGGCCACAGCAATGTGTGCAAAGTCCTCTGAGGATGTGAACTGCACTATCTGCTAAACGGTAATAATTATTAGCAATAAGCCAAAGAATGATGGGCTATTTTTCACACTGCTTGGAGTGCCCTTTTTCAATGGCAGTACCTTTTGTCTCTCTCAGATGGAAAAAGAGGAAGAAAACAGCCTTCACGTGCATCTTTAAAATATTAGTGTCCATTTCACCTAATCAGATGTTTAATGCCTATTAAGAATTATAAAACAGAGAAATGTGTCCTTGTAGTGGTGATGTGTGGTTTATTTATTTATTTTTGCGCTGAGCAGCATCTGCAAGGTTGTCAGGAGAAAGAGGGATAAAAATAGCCTATATGGGCCCCTGAATGGCCTATAATTGTGCTATCAACACTGTTACTCTAGGTCTTCACATGAGATTGTTTTAAATTATACTGTAAATCACAAGCATCTTATAATTTCCCAGAAAATTATTTGTTGTTTCTTAAATTCTGCTGGGAACACTCTCTCTCTATAGCTGCAAGATCAATGTTATTGCTTGAAGTCAACTAAATACCTACATGTCTAATCCCTTCCCTTTTAGTGTCTGATTTACAATGTCGCTAATTGCATTCTTGGATTCCCAATACTACTGGCGCCAATTTCTGCTACTCCACAAAAGGAGCTAGTTTAATAATTACTCTATCAACTGTATTGTTGTGCAATCGAATTCTGAGAGTACTTTACGCATGGCATGCTCTGTCGCAGCACTCTTGTTCAAATTGCTGCCAGCATGATGGCTTTCACTGTTAGTTGTTCCTTGATGGAATTTAATAAATATTCATTGGCAAAGTGCAGTGTAATTGATTCAACCACTTTCATTTTTATCAGCTCTGCAGGAGACCACAGCCTCTGCAGAAAATCTCCAAGACTTACCAAAGGTTGAGAGTAAGAGGCTTTTGTGATTCACTTGGTGAAGGAAGGACAGGGAGGCCATATCTGTTATCACCATGTCTATTATACATTGTCAGGGGGAAAAAACCCTATGTGGCTCTCTGGATGACTAGTGTGCATTATGTGATAAACTGTGAAAATGTTGATTGTGTAATCTGAAATGAAATGCTTTGATATCCACCATAAAAATGATTGCCAGCAGATCAGAAGCCTGCTTAACATTTTTAAATAAAAATTAAAATGAGAATATGCTGTACTCTATTTATTCACTAACAGATTTTCTGCATCTTAAAATTAATGATTTTAATTTAAATTTTTGACACACATTGAATTATGTACCTGTCACCTAGTATATCTAGTTGTTTCTCTCGACCCTTATTTCATTTTATTTTATTTGGATGGGATTGGGGAAAGTTTCTTTAATTAAGCAAAAGGCCTGATTCAACAGTCCTTACTCAGGCAAAATTTCCATTTACTTTCATAAACTTACTCACAGGGACTTGTGGTGGTATTTTATAATCCTTGTCAAAATTGATCTTGAAATCCAATACTCCACCATTAACAAATAATTTCAATACATACTAACAATATAAAGGCAAAATTTTCTCTTGTGAAATCAACAGAAGTTGCATGCATGTATCTGAGGCTAGAATCAGGACTTAAAAATACATCATTCAGATTTATTAGGCCAATTCTTTTCTTTCATTTGTACAGGATTTGCTCTGTTCTATTTACTCCTGAGGACATTCTGTCCCTAAAAATTATACGCCCAATATTTTAAAATTCTGCAAAATTCTACAAATTTTATTTGTCAATAAATAAATGCAGAGGCTCCAACATGGCAGTGGGGAGCACAGGCCACTGGCTGCACAAAGGTGGGAGATCACCCTGCAGTCCTCCCACCCCCAGGACACTGACTCACAGTGAGGCTGCACCAGACGCTGATACAGCACAAGGCCCGGGCCTGCCCCAGAAACACCTTGGGGCCCTGCCCCTCTGCACCAGGAGCAGGGCAGGTAGGCTCAACCAGACAGGATCCAAGTGTGGAGGGATCCGGGTATGGGGCGAGAGGATTCTGTGCGGGACAATATGGGTGCCGTCAGCTCAGTGGAGTGATCTGGATGCACAGAGGCTTGTTGAGGGGGTTCCAGGTACAGGGGCAATGGGATTCTGCATGGGCTTCCAGAGTGTGGGGGTCTCAGCAGGGTGTGTGTGCTGAAGGAGTGGGGTTTGATGAGGGGGTCTGGGTGCAGCTAGTTGGCGATCAGTGGCGTGGGGGTCTGGATTTGGGGGCTGAGGGTGGGGATTTGAGTGCTGGGAGCTCAGTGAGGGGTGGGAGTCTGGAGACGGGGTCAGAGCAGGGGTTGAGGTTCAGTGGGGTGGGATTTGGGTAGGGCGGGCTAGGTTCTGAATGTACTGGGTGAGGCTTGGCAGAGGTGTCTGGCTATGGGAGGTCCAGATGCACAGGGCTTGGGTGGATGGGGGAGCAGCAGCTCCCCATAGAGTGACACCGCCTCCCCACAGCTAAGGAGTGATGAGGGCAGGGGGCAGGAAGCAGGTGAGGATGCTGAGTTTCCTGCAGCAGGGGGAGGTTTCTGGGGGTGGATCTGACACAGCCCCAGTCACTCCTTGCAAGGGAAGAGGAAGTCCTATCCTCTCCTGCCAGCAGCCCAGCCAGGACTAGCAGCTGATCCTGGCTCAGGGTAGGAGCTACTGGCTGGGGTGTCCCCAGCCCCGCAGTGATTTACTTCTCTGTGAGCTGCTGTGGGTGCCTGAAACATTGTACCTGTGCTGCTAGGGAGTGGTGTGTGACTGCTCTTGCAGCTTCCCTGTCAGAAAGTCATTTTTCTATAGGGAAGCAAAGAAATCTGCGGGGGACATGAATTCTGTTCACATATAGTGGCGCAGAATTCCCCCAGGAGTAGCTATTGGACATCAGCACCTCTGCTAGATTCTTTAAACATAAGTACCTTTCTAATATGCCTTCTAGGAGAATGATCAAATTGCTGATTTCCTCGAGTTTTATAATTAATCCTTTAGAAATATAAACCACGGACACATGCAGTGGCAAATGTAGAAGATTTTACAGATGCTGCAGCTACCCAGTTAATTCTTTTGTAATCAGATAGTTTTAAAAATATACTACAGACCCGATTCTCCAATTATTTACATATTGTAAATTCGGAGTAACTGAATGTAAGTCAATGTAGTATAACACTGGGGTTTTCAAACTTCATTGTACCACGATCCCCTTCTGCCACCAAAAGTTACTACTTGATCCCAGGAGGGGGACTAAAGCCTGAGCCCGCCAGAGTCCCACAGCCCCAGGTGGGAGGGCTAAAGCCAAAGCCTGAGCCTACTGTCCTGGGCAAGGGGGCCAAAGCCAAAGTCCAAGGGCTTCAGTCCCAGGCAGGGGCCTGTAACCTGAGCCCCGCCACCCCGCGCTGAAGCCCTTGGCTTTGGCCCCTGGCAATGGGGCTCGGGCTTTGGTTTTGGCCCTGGGCGATGGGGTTTGGACTTCGGCCCCCAGCAAATCTAATGCCAGCCCTGGCAACCCCATTAAAAAGGGGTTGTGACCCACTTTGGGGTCCCGACCTATAGTTTGAGAACCGCTGGTGTAAGAGGAGAATCAGGACTTGTGGGAATGTATTTGTTTCTCTGTATCTCTGTCACATTTAGTTTCAATCAGAAGAGCATTACTGGTAAGTTTTAAAACTTTCCATTGGTTAGGTACCTTCTTTGTTCATCTTCCACTTACCGGAATGCCGGTGAAGGTAACTGGAGGTGACTGCCAAGAGACGCTAAAGCTACGGCCATTGGGAGTGAACTTTGTTGACCCTGGAATGTTCACTGGAGGAGTGGCCTGTTTAAAAAGAAAATATTCCAATAAAAACAAGTGCTCCTCTTCCAAAGCATCGCAACAAGAACTTTTGCTCTTTGAAACTGCAAATCAACCAGGTTTTCAACAGCTCAGAATAATTCCACAATGGTGGCTGTGACAAGCATTCTATCCTTGTTCTCTGTGGGAATAAGCATGAATAGGGCAACAAAGAAAGAACAAGGTCTTCATTATTTAATTGGGCAGAAAAAAGGCTATAGCTCTCCTGAGAAATGGCTTCTATAAGAAACCTTTAAAAGCTCAGGTCTTATATCAAACAATACTAGGTATGAACTCAGAATTTTTTTCTTTTGAAACTTTTAATTAAAGCAAAGTTACAATAAAACATTAACATACTTAATTGTACATCACTTATTCAGGACCAGATTAATATTCAAAGAAACAGGCAAAAAAGATTCTGGCTTGCTCCACTGAATACACAAAAAATTGTAACCAAATTTCTAAATACTTATCCTCTTTTTTGGCACTTTTCTCCTGTATGTACTTGGTGTGAAAACTTTTCCATTACAATACTCTGGGGGCGATTCATGTGCCCCGTAGATTTTTTTTTCCTCCACAGAAAATACATTCTGCCAGAGAGGCTCTGTAGTTACACCTTTCACCCACCAGGGGCTCCTGTTGGGCCAGTTCACTGCTCACCAGACATAGGAGCGGATAGGGAGAGAGCAGAGGCTGCGTTCCTCACAGCGCCCTGCCTGGAGGGACAGACAGAGTGGGGACACACAGATCAGAAAGGCTAGTGGGGGGGACAGACTGGAGTGGGGCTGAATGGGAGAAGGGACTGCAGGGCCACATGGGGATGGGGAGGAGGAGTGGCTGAATGGGGGTGCAGGGCCAGATGGGGACAAGAGAAGGGGACAGGGGATGGCTGAGTGGGGATGCAGGAACATGTGGGGTAGGGGGAGGAGGGACACATGGGCAGATGTTCTTGGGAGGAAGGACACATGGGCAGATGTGCTTGGGTCAGCCAGGGCCTGTATGGGGGAGGCTCCCCAAGTCCCTAACAATCCTCCCCCCACTGAACCACCTGCAAAAAACCCCCATGTTCCATACTTCTCTTTTATGGAGATAATATATCTCCTAGAACTGGAAGGAACCTTGAAAGGTCATCGAGTCCAGCCCCCTACCTTCACTAGCAGGACCAAGTACTGATTTTGCCCCAGATCCCTAGGTGGCCCCCTTAAGGACTGAACTCTAAACCCCGGGTTTAGCAGGCCAATGCTCAAACCACTGAGCTATCCCTCTCCACCCACACCCAACCACTCCCAGGCTCCTTCCTAGCAATTACTTCCTTCTCTCTCAGCTCCTCCATTACCCCTGACTCCCCGAAGCCTTTGCATTGCTTCTGAGGGGTGCGGGAAATAAGTTTCTGTATTGTAGTTTAAATGAATTATTACTCAAAGTTCTATGTTAATATGCCTAGTAAGGAATCTATTTGTCAAAAAACATTTCCTGAATCTTTTTTTTGTTGTCTGTATTGTTACAGACATATTTGTTGACAGGTATTTTGAAATAAATTATTAACATAATTGAAACTGGCATGACTATATTGTGTTATTTTGACAAATAAAATATGCAGAATTTTAAAATATTGTGCACAGAATTTTTAATTTTGTGGCACAGAAGTCCCCTGGGAGTAATTACAAAGATAATCCATATTTTACTATACCACAATTGCATAGCAGGAGAAGTCACACTTTTATGTGCAATACAAAGTCATGCTGCTAACAAAACAAAACAAACAAAAAAAAAGGAAATTACTCTGCCATTCTGTTTACAACTGGAGCATTAAATAAGCATGTCTGGGGATCTTTAGGAAGCTGGAATTCTGTCATAAAATCAATTTCTTTAAGAATTTCCTCCCAAAACTGTCTAATTCCTCAACACAACTACCAGATGTGCAAGTATGTTCCCCCTTCCCCACCATATAAATAAAGTTCTAAAAACCAGCATCTGGTCAATTCAAATAAAAACTTTAACTAGAGTGATTAAAAGCCCAGTAATGAGCAAACCCAAATATAGTACTTTAAACTAATGTTACTGTCTGATTGAAACTACTAAAGAGTGAAAGGAGAGAAATTTCAGCTACCAAAATGGTTAATGATCAACAATATGAGGTAGCTATTCTGCAATTATAAGATAAACGTGCTGAAAAACGGCTTTCCCTGTTTAAAACAGTGGGCTGAAATCATTCTCAGCACATAAGGACAGTTATTGAAAAAATAAAGCTAAATCAAGATTTTGAAAAACACTATTGTCCTCTCAGCTCACTCATTTTCCTTCCATCTAGGTTTTATAATGGGCTCATCACATTTATGATGAGCATCTTTCTGTTGAGCTGCCTCGTCCTCTATGGGCTGTTGGAACCTGGCTAAAAAGTGCGCTCTGTTGAATTGGGGTTTCCTTCAACACATCATCTTAACTCCTTTCTTATTGGATACAGTCAATATTTCACAATTTGTTCCTCTCTGCTTAACAGGGTGAATGAGTAGCTGCCTTTAGGACTGGCTTTCTATGCCTCTTGTGAATCAACCTTTATCATCTCAAGGTTCTTGTTTTACATTTAGACCATTTAAAAGTGAGCTTTCCTTCCGTTCTTCAGTTGTTTCAACCAGCCAATATCAATTTAAAATATCATGTCTGTTTGCAGCCACTCACCGTATCTGAGTGTGTCCCTCACTAGACTCACAGTCATGTTCAGCAGGAGAGATGACCAACTAGAATATTGCAGACTTCTGCACAAGATAGTTCTCAGAACACATAAGCACTGTCTAAAGCCAGCCTCTAGGATTTCTCAAAGGAGAAAGGACCAGGACTGTCTGAACAACAATGTCTAAGGGAACGAAGGTCTGTATGTGAATAGCTGCTATCAGAATCTGCTGACAGATCTAAGAGAATCAACACTGATACACAATCTTACCTAGCGATAGGAGGCCATCAGCCAATGAGGTCAGAGTGTCTCTGTGACATATCCATGCTGAAAGCCCGACTGAAAGTTATCAGGGAAATCTGGTAACTCCCAATGATACCAGAATTGCTTTATCACAATCTCTGCAATAATTTCCCTTAAAACAGGAATGTTTGAAACCCAAAGACAATTGGAAAGATTAGCAGCATCAACTGGCTAACAGCTTGTTTGAAGGGAAGATGGTGTATCCTCTAGCACCATGCTGGAGCATTGGTTCAATGCTCACTCAGATAAAGGGTGTCATCACTGCTATTTCCCAAAATACTTTAATGAGAAACCTCCAAGGAAAACCCAAAGCACTGACCAAGCCTACCTCCAATTATCTTATAGCTAGGGCCCTACCAAATTCACGGCCATGAAAAACGCATCATGCACTGTGAAATCCGGACTCCTCCCATGAAATCTGGTCTTTTGTGTGCTTTTACCTGATACTATACAGATTTCAAAGGGGAGACCAGCATTTCTCAAATTGAGGGTCTTGACCCAAAAGGGAGTTGCAGGGGGGTCACAGTATTGCCACCCTTACTTCTGTGTGCCTTCAAATCTGGGAGGCTGGAGGGGGTGGCTGTTAGCAGTGACTGTGAAGGCAGTGCCCTGCTAGTAGCAGCACAGAAGTAAGGGTGGCAATACCATACCACGCCACTCTTACTTCTGCGCTGCTGCTGGCAGCAGCGCTGCTTTCAGAGCTAGGCTCCCGGCCAGCAGCCACCTCTCTCCAGCTGCCCAGCTCTGAAGGCAGCGCCACCAGCAGCGCAGAAATAAGGGTAGCAGTGCCGCAACCCCCCTACAATAACCTTGCGACCCCTGCCCCCACAACTCCTTTATGGGTCAGGACTCTTAAAATTACAATACTGTGAAACTTCAGATTTAAATAGCTGGAATCATGACATTTATTATTTTTAAAATCCCGTGACTGTGAAATTGACCAAAATGGACCGTGGATTTTGTAGGGCCCTACTTATAGTTAACATACAGCTGGAGGTGATCTCACTAAAGACTAGATATCAGATCCAACTGAGTATATTATATTGCTTTGGTGCTTGCAGATGCATAACAAAGGTTTTTAGTTTGTGTAAAATACACACACCACATCTAATTTAATATTTTTTTCATATATTGTAAGAATTCATTTCTCATGTCCATAAGCAGGCCATGGACCCCAATACTTCAAAGCCTATATTTTTCTTAGAAATTATATGGTGTCCAGGAGATCAAAGCATGTTAAAAGCAAGAGTTTTCAAAAGCTCATTTCTAGCACATTTTTACATGCTGTTTGAATTAAGTTGGAAAGTTCTCTAATAGAATCTGGAATCTGCTTGGGTTTTTCTGCCATTTGTAAAGAATTACCAGTAAGAGTGGTGGATATTATAGCCTTCTTTTTATTTTTCCTGCTCAACCACTTGTATGCAAAGCTGCCCACCTCACAACAGACAAATCAGAAATGTTTTGGCAGCCACTAGGACTTGTCATGAAGAAAAATCCAATATGGGCCAGGCAGTATCAGTCTCTCCCAGCCTCTCTCTTATACAAAAAACATTATCTAGTTGATGTAAAGGGGCTTTGGTTGTTAAACTCAAGCAGGTGTGTGATCACTGAATTCTATTAACTAGGTTAGTTCACTGTCACTAACTTTACCTGGTAAGCATGATCCGTGTGTACGAGGTAGAGATTGGTAGGAGCTGAGCGGCTCAGAGGCGTCATCAATTTAGTCTCAGTTTTGGCACATGAAGTTTCAGGACGGTTTGCATCTTGGGTGGGAAAAGGAGGAGGAGATCCTAGAGATGGAGAGACTGGAGAAAGGCTGCTTAAGCCATCCGCTACCGAGTCTGTGTTGAGCCTGATCTCTGTGTAGTAAAAATCTTCCTCTCCATCACTGTAGTCAGACTCTCCTACACGTCTAATTCAAGAAAAGACAAAACACATATTACTATACTAAGACAAGACTGTTGAATTTCAAGGTTAATTTTTCAAGTCCCAGATACAGAGCAAATAAATTAAATATATGAACATTTAAGCTTCAGCTGTGCTTACTTTTTATAAAGAGTGATGTGTGTATCATATAAACATTTTATTCATTTGCAGGGAAGGGCTTGGCAGAAGTCTTGTGTAGTCTTTAGAACAGGGGATTAGGAGTCAGTCTTCTGCGTGGCATTCTTGACCCTGCCACTGACTCATTTTTTTGACTGTGGACCCATCACTTAACTTATGTGCCTCAGTTTACCCATCAGTAAATTGAGATACTTGCCTCATGTGGTAAATAGCTAATGTTGGTAAAGTGCTTCGAGATCCTCACATGAAGTATGGCTATGGAAAATACAGAGTATTTGTCGTACTAGTGATAGCAAAGGTGGGCAGTCACCAGTTTCATTAGTAGTATTTCCACTAGTAAAGAAAGCCACATCCTCTACCTTGGAATGGGACTTTGACTCTAGAAGGAGAGGTGCCTTAGAAATCCCTAAAATGGATTGTGGAGGCATCAGTCATTCATCTGGAGTAAAGGCTCTGTTGAGATTTCAACTTAAAATGATTAAATCCCTTTGTTGCATATGGAATATACTGTGTCACTGCACCAAATTTACCTCACTTACTCTTAGTGTACAGACTGAGTTTTCAAAAAATTGGAAGTGAGGAGTTTAGGACTTAGAAGTAGGTAAAACGACTCCTTTTTGAAACCACTGTGTTGGTTACACTCATGCCACATTTCTGGGGTAAAGGGGATTGTTAGTTTGTTTTTTAAATGGCAGCTTAAATTCTGATGTAATCACTTGACTCCAGAAGCTGGTCCAGGGTGCCTATGCCTCCATCCTGCCCTGCTTGTGTGAGCATTGAAGAATCTGAAAATGGGTCAGTACCAAATCTCTTCAAAGAAGGATTGTCCTCTTACCCAAGATGAATGGTCCGGATGTGTTTCTGAATCCCTGCAGCTGTGCTCAGTACCTTTCCACAGTTTTTCCATAGACATTTGAACATTACCTTCATGGAGTTCTGACAAGTTATAAGAAAAGCAGGTTTAAAAAATATGCTATTATTCATATGTTCACGTGAAAGGTAGGAAAAATTACAGATATACACCGTCACTATATGTTACTCTATCCTAAACCGGGCCATGTTCTGCTGTCAGTTACACCACTGTAAATCCAGAGTAGACTGGTGTAATTCTGCTGAATTCAACAGAGCTACTCTGGATTTATACTTGGTGTAACTACAGCAGAAATTGGGATCCCCCTGAAACATTTCCTGGATCATTTTGCAAGAAAACTTAGGGCCAGATTCTACCCCTAATTAAAGATCTTGCAGCCCACTGACTTCAGTCAAGCTATATTGGATGAAAAAAGCAGAATCTGGCTCTTGAACACGTGAAGGATAAGTGGCCTGATTTTCAAAGGAGCTTAATACCCACAGCTTTCAATGACTTCCATAGGAATGGTAGGTGCTCAGCATCTTGGAAAATAAGGCCACAAACAGTGTTAAGTATAACAAAGAGCCACCTCCCACTAACTTTGTAGAATGATAAATAAAAACACTGGAAAAAATTAGATATAAATAGAGACACACACACACACACACACACGGCAGTGTTAAAAAGGCAACAGTCAGCATGAGACTGGATCTTATGAAACCTGCCAATTTTCAAGAATTTATTGCTTTCCCTGGCCATGGAATAGTCCACTTCTATAGAAACTGTTTTACTGTTATATGCACCTTCTCTTCTCCAAATTAGTGAGTTCAGAATATTAAGATAGTCAAGCAATTGCCTGATCATTCTTTAGTGCTTTTAACTCCTTCCACTCAGACATGCAAGTGATTTGGTGGGGAATGGGTTGAATTTATGGCAAAATGTAAACATTCAACTTTCTTGAGGGGTGGAAGTGGAGTACATGACATTGTCCAAGATGTGACTCCACAAAGCAGAGGTAATTTGACACTAACTGATTAGGCATTCTGTTACTCCTAATTGGTGAAGTTATCAATCGCTCTATTTTCACATTTACACTTTGTGGACTGACAGCACTAACAAACCAGTAATTAGATCATAAATATTTTTCTCCAAAGTGCAAAGTCACAATCAGACAATTACTAGTCAGGGACAGAATGAAAACATAGGAGAAAGTGAATTTGCTATAGGTGAGCCCTATGTAATATCATTCATTCCTTATACAAATTTGATGTTTGTTGTACAGGCCAAAAACTGAAAACACCAAAACAGACCATTAAGTATAAAATGTTTGCAGCAGGTATGTAAAATATGAATAATGAAACAGTAAGAATGGCAGTTGTAAAACCATCTGCCTAATCATTGCTGAACAATCAGAACAATGACCAGCACAGCTTTAACTGGGTCGTAAAAACATTACAGCATTTCTTTTTCTCTCTCTGTCCAGCCCCCAACCTCTGAGTCACTGCTGGATTTATTTAATAACTAACTTAATTTATCATAGCAAATGTGTTCTCCATACTGTTTTTTTATTTAGCAACAGGGAACAGTATTTGATATCAACCTCGCAAAAGACGTCTCAACAAAGGCAAGAGTGATTGTGGGACAGCAAATGAGCAACTCCTGTAGCAAAAAGATGAATCCGATCAGGTTTAAAAACCATCATTAAAACTTCATCCTGCCAGTGGTGAGGCAATTATTGCTCTCAGTCTGATCCAGAGAAGAAGTCACCAAGAAAGGATAAATACCTTGTTTTCCTCTTTCTCACACAGAGCTTTTTTTCATCTTGCTATGTAAAATCTATCCTGTTGTGTTAGGAGTGAAGAAAGCTTGGACTAATGCCATCTCTTTGTTTTCTTCTTCAAGAGAGGCACTTTGCTTGCTGGCATAGTGATGGGGGAAGGGGAGTTACATACCAAATTAAGGCATTTGGTTTAGTTTAATTTATTTAGTTGTGAGTGGCCACACGGATCCTTTGCGGAGTGAGGTTGATTTCAGTGAAGTTCCCCTAGGGATGAATTTGGCCTGATGACATTATACAGATTCAGTTTGTCTCCCCGCCCTCCCCATATGTTTGTTCTGAGTGCTTCATCTAATTAAGGCATCGGATAAGCTAACAGCATTTTCAGCGAACTAGAAATACAGGGCCAAATCCTGCCCTGTGATGGCAAAAAGGGAGAGGCTGCCTGTTGCAGCCTGTCCCAAAGGTATTTGCCAAAGCAGGGCAGAAATCCCCTGCGTGGCCAGGGGTCTCTGCAGGGAGCATCTTGCTGCTTCTCTGGGCAGGAGCTGTGTGTATCCCCAACATCTGCTAGCAAACACTAGGTGCCAATGGCAGCATGTGCATTAGCCAGAGGGGTGGTGTTAGGAGGGACATGCTTCATGGGCTAGCGCATACATGGGGCTATGGAGAGTATCTGTCTAGCAGCTGAAACTCCCTGCAGAGTTGTTTGTGTGATCTTTTGTGGTCCCCCCCCCCCAGCAGAACAGGATCCCAGATGTGTAGCGCTGTGAGCTGCACAGGAGGCTAACCTTTCTCTTCCTAGGGATGGGCTCATCAAAAAGGAGATTACTGGTTTCAGCTTCATCAATACTATCATCTGGCTGAGAGGGCATTCGAAAGGGTTTGAAGCTATCAGCAGACAGAGGCGGAGATGGGGTGGATGGATTGGACTGATCACTGGGTGCACTCCAGCTCCAGTATCCACTACTGCTGGTACTAGAAGGCACAAATCCTCCTTCTTTCCAAGATCCATTCAGGGATTCTGTAAGAACGGCAACAACAGGAGTTAACAAATGTCATGAGTTAAAGCTAAGAAGATCCGTTTGCTTTTATCTGATACTCACTTACCATGTTTACCTTACCTTAGGCGAGAAAAGCCAAAGAACTCAGTTTGCAAAGAGAACAGACTGATCTTACTAAAATTTGTTTCAGTAAAAAACCCACCTGTGATAAATGAAGGGGTGGAGGGTAGCTCCCTTTTATGGACATCCAGCCAGCCAGTTAGCTATAGAGTCCCTCTTGGTGGCAGGATTGGATTTTTGTGTCCCTAAAAGGTTTGTGCATATGCTGTTTAATTGACTGGTGGCAACAGCTAATTTCCTTTGTTTTTTCTCTTTCCCCTCACCTCTTCCCGGGAAGGGGGGTGAAAGGGCTTGAGGGTACCCCACAGGAAGGAATTCCCAAGTGTTCTTTCCTGGGTTCTAAAAGGCGGGGGGGGGGGGGAATTTGCACTTGGGAGGTGGCAGCATCTACCCATCCAAGGCCAGAGAGAAGCTGTGACCTTGGGAGCTTAATACCAGCCTGGAGTGGCCAGTATTAATTTTTAAAATCCTTGTGGGCCCCCATGTTTTGCACTCAAAATCAATTTGTCAATCAGCCTTGACACCACCTTTCTAGAAAAGAAAAAGCTGAAGCGGGGAGACAAAAAACTATTCTGGAATATAACTATATCTGGAGCAGTCAGATAGAATGGTGATGAGTGCTTGATTCAGGAAAGCATTGAAGCACATGCTTAATTTTGAGCATTCCTAGGACATACTGACTTCAGTGCAATTTAAGCATATGCTTCACTACAATCATGAATAGGACCTAAATTGATAGCTAAAATAATTTAGATTAAAAAAATCAAATCCCCTCCCTTTGACTGGCAGAAACTCTAAATGCGCTATATACATTCCCCAATCTTAAGCTTCTGAGTATGCCTAAATCCTTAGTTTGTAATCTCAGACACCCCCTCCCCCAAAAAGAGGCACACACACAGGGCCGGCTCCAGGGTTTTGGCTGCCCCAAGCAGCCAAAATAAATTAAAAAAAAAGCCACAATCGCGATCTGCAGTGGCACTTCGGTGGGAGGTCCTTCACTCCGAGCGGGAGTGAGGGACCGTCCACCGAATAGCCGCCGAATAGCTGGACATGCCGCCCCTCTCCGGAGTGGCCGCCCCAAGCACCTGCTTGCCAAGCTGGTGCCTGGAGCTGGCCCTGCATACACAGCCCCAAAACACTAACCCATATCTGTAAAAATGCTGTCATCAGGGCCGGCTCCAGGCGGCAGCACGTCCAGCTATTCAGCGGCAATTCGGCGGACGGTCCCTCACTCCCACTCGGAGCGAAGGACCTCCCGCCGACTTGCCGTCGCAGATCGCGATCGCGGCTTTTTTTTTTTTTTTTGCTGCTTGGGGTGGCCCAAACCCTGGAGCCGGCCCTGGCTGTCATCAGCCTACTGTTAAAACACCAAACAAACAAAACTGCTCCAACATCAACCTCATGGTGTGTCAGTGTGTTTATGTATCAGATCTTTATTTATTTATATAGATGTATGTGCCCTGGGGCAGGAACCTTCTCCCTGCCCCCCAATACAGTGCCAAGCACTCTGCTGGTGCTTAGCAAGTAAATAATAAAATTCAGTATTAAATGTGAGACTAGAATTTTTCCAAATCTGACAGTACCTGCAGTTTTCTGTCCCTCACAAACTCTTCCTCACTTTTTAACACACAAGTCTCATTCTCAGTACAGGCACAAGAATAATTTCCTTCACTCGTTACCAAAAGCCTCATCCAAAACCCACTGAAGACAACAGAAATCTTTCCACTGTCTTCCATGGACTTTGGATCAGGCCCTAAAGCATAAGCAATTATTAAAAATATCCACTGCTCACAACACTGGGCCCAAACCTGCAAACATTATGCTCATGTATAATTATACTCACTTATGTGCGTAAGTGTTTGCAGGATCGGGATCAGACTGCAAAATGCGGGCAAGTTAGTGAATGCCACAATTCCTTTTGAAAATGTACAAATAATTAGCTCATTGCTGACGAAGCACAAAATAATACATTAGAA